GGGGGGGAGAAGGAAGAGGAGAGTCACCATGGAGGTAAGTTCGCCGACTCGCTTCGCGTGTTCGTATCACCAGGAAACACGACGTACGCTAACCATGGACCACAACCATAGCAGGACTCTATCACGACGACATGTACCTCCGCTTGCTCGCTTTGTCGGCAGACAAGTGTTCGCATCAACCTACTGTCCGGCGAGGTAACGTGAAATCATCACCCCTAGGGGGTAGTGGTTATAGCGTGGTTGGTGTGCGAAATTGACGAGAACTCGTCAACGATGTACCTGTCTACTGCTTGGTTGAGACATGATGTTGTTGTTGTTGTTGTTGTTGTTGTTGTTGTTGTTGTTGTTGTTGTTCTTTCACTACCTTCCAACTCTCGAGTTGCCACTGTCGCTATCGCTTGATCATAGCAGGCGCAATTTTCATATCACACATCCATCTCTCTCCGCTTTCTCCCCTCTGCCATTTTGGTGCAATGTCTGTCTTTTTGATTCTCGATCGAGTCGGCCTTACTCTTCTTTTCCGGAGGAAAGGCGATTGTTGTCGCGTGTTCCGAAATCGCGCGCGCTATTCAAAGTTGCATTAAACAAATAAGGGGGTGGCGACGACGGTCGGTTTTCCGATGACGCGAGTACATATACTACTTGGACGGTATACCTTTCCAGAGGAAGACCGGAGAAGTCATAGACCATTGTTGTGGATGTCTAGACTTCAATCTTCAATAGTGGGAATTCGCGACATTCAGGAAATGTCCGTATTCAACCTTAGGCATCCTATAAACTCTCTTGTTGTTTTCATGTTCACCTGAGAAATATATCGATTCTATCTACCTCCAATTTCCCTCCAAGATTTTTTTTCGCCGCTCGAGTCGCTAAGCAGCACTCAACCGGTTGGTTGATTGATGAATTTGAACAGAGCGCCATTCTTTACACACCCACTAGGTACCTCCGATGCAGTGATGATTGAGACGACTTTTCGTCAAATCACCTCACTCCACATTGCCAAGAATTCAAATGAAGGCGTCCGCTCCAAAGTCGAGCCCGGGAAAATCAATGCTAAAGTCAAATTCGTTCTGTTCCTTGCCATCACTCCGCAATGCCTCCCTCAACTCAGCCTCAGCGGGATCCTCCCTCTCGACCTGCTGCTGCGCATCTTTTCTCGCAGCAGCAGCAGCAGCAGCAGCGGCAGCAGTATTTCTCCCAGTAGCTCTCTTTGGCCGTTTCGACGGCCCTGCTACTGCTGCTGCCTCTCTATGCTCATCATCTTCGACAACCTCATCATCCCCTTCCTCGACAACAGTTCCCAACTTGCCGCCGCCCCGTCGGCGTCTCTTTTTGACGGGCTCCTCGCTCTCGATCCGATCCTTCCCCTTCCCCATGATTTCCTTCTTGTCCTCATTACAAAGATTGTTGCTCACCTTCCGCTTGTTATAGCCCTTGGGATTCGCAACCACAGACTTCACTCCTCTTCCCTCAATCACATCCATCACCATTCTCTTGTTCTTTCGCAAGAGATCACAAATCAGCTCAAATCGTTCCTGGAAATCCAGGCTGGTGTCTGGGTTGTAGCCAGCGTTGTTCCCGCCAATGGAGTAAAAGCACTCCTGCGTTCCTGTGTGGAACTGGTACGTCTCCAGAAAGAGAGCGCGAAGTCGAGCGGTGATGAGTGGCCGGCGATACGCACCTTCCTCCCCCTTGCGAGATCCCTCCATGCGGAGTTTCTGGTTGAGTGTGATCTGTTGCCGCATTTCCCACGTCAAGCCCGCCTGATGTACGTTTCCGCCCTCGCCTCCGGGAACCACGGCATTGACGGCATCGAGGAATCGTTGGATGAACTCGTCTTCCCTTTCGAGAATGTCTTGAAGCTCCTCTTGCCCAATCGGTGGCCCACGGCCCACCTGAGCAGGATAAATCAGCCGTCTGGCAGCTTGAAGATCGGGAACCTCAGGATCAAGGTTATTGGGTTGAGCTTCTGCTGTGCGTCGGTCATGTTTTCGAGCACATCGATTGCAGAGGTCGAGGACATGAGTGCGGTTTCGGAAAGGTCTCCCACAGCCTGGAGCTACGCAGGGAAGGGAAGCTTTCATGACAACGGTGTTTGGGTTCGGGGCTTTATTGCGCGGTGCTGCCCTCGATCTACCATTGCGCACTTTGCTGATACTGTCGGGCTCAGGGCTGAATTCGGAAGGGCCAGGAGTATCACTGAATGTGTCGGGGCTGAATGCTTGGTCAGAAGTGTTATATTGAGGATCAAATTCGTTGGAGCGCATTTCGGGCGAGAAGGACTGGTCGGGATTGGTGAGGGTAATGTCATGGAAGTGGTGGCCCTGGGGGTAGGGCCTGGTTGGCATACCATGTTGCGCGTTACCGAGGAGTGACATGCCCTGGTTGCCGAGTGCTTCAGCGGGACCAGAGTGGGCGAAATTCAAGGAGAGTCGATCGTACTCATCAAATATCAGGTTTTGTACGTCGTGGTGATACAATCTCGATGGGCCGATCTGTTGTGATTGCTGCTCATTGCGATCCTGTCCCCAAGATGGTGATTCAATCGTACCAGCAACATGTGCCCGCTCATGTCTCCCATACGGATCTGATGCTGCTTGCTCTGCCAGAGGTGGCTGCACGCGATCTCCCGCGAAAGCTGTGTTCCAGTCTTCCCACTGTCTCAGAGCATTGTGATTTTGCCACATATCGTCGTCTGGCCGCTTGTCCGCATGCTGCGCCGACTTCTCAATCATCAGGTCGGTACCGTGTTGTAGTGGCTCATATTGCTCGATAGAGGGCCATGGTACATCTGAGCCGTGAAGCCAAAGCGCAGGGTCAAGGAGATTCTCATCGAAGAACTGCCCACTCTGAGCCTCTGTAACCCTGTTGTCCTCGCCTTTAGTGGCCGTTTCAGGTTGCTCTCTCCCATTGTCGCCAATAGTAATCCCGTTTGCAGGTGAAGTTGTTATGGATTGATTCTGTTCCTCAAAGATGTGCTGCCACTGCATTTCATCTCCGGGGTCGATGCTCGAGGGGTCGAAGTAGCTGAAGATGTCGGACATGGCTTGCCGTACAATGCAGTCGAGGCGTCTGGCCTGCTGTACTAGGTGTTTTATGGTACAACGCTGGACCGACCCCCAAGTATGCTGCACCGAATACGAAGAACTGCGGTGCATGCAGTTGTGAATGGTGGTGCGGAGTGGGAAAAGACGTGCTGGAAGCCGCATGAGGCCTTATGCCATAATGGCACGAGGCCACGTTGTTTGTCCCAGTCTGGTGATAATCGTGGTAAGTGACCACGGCGAGAGACCTCGTCAAGCCTGGAGTCGAGCTGGACTGCCAGTGAATCTGCTGCGGGAGATGGGAGGAACACGGGAGCTGCTGAAAGTCCCACCCGCTACAAAGTACCTGTCGTTCTCGTTGCAGTCATTCAAAAGCCAATGCCGCGCTGTCGGTTGTCTCTCCAGATTGTACCTCGCATCTTTTCTTGCATTGCCTCCTCGTAGTCGTTTCTCCCATAGCTCCGTCGTACGATCGCATGGTATCCGGCCATCTGAACCAACGCCGTCCGCCAGCGCTCCTAGTAGAGTCACTCTCTCCTGTCAACGTCCTTCTGCTTGACGACAGTGGCCTACGAATCCCACTGGCTGGCACAGATGGGGCAGACTAGGAACGACGCGCTAGTCTTGATCATCTCGTTGACATTGGTCAGTTAGGTCCATATAGCAATCGTGTCCTGAAAGGTCGAGGTATTTGCAGCTGGACAATTCGCAACGGGTCTGAGCCGACGACACTCCGGATCGGCCACAATTAGCGTCGCCACATCAGCTCCTCGAAGGCGACACCGCGAGGCACTTGAAGACAGGAAGTAGCTAAGGAACAGAAATCTGCGATACTATATCGCGTGACTACGTTCTCGCGTGGAGAGGCGATAAAGGCGATAGTGAGCCATGTGAATGACATGAATTGGCATTGTGCAGACTACCAAGTGATCACAATCGCTCAACTCCATTTCGTGAGAGTCGGCAAGTCTCCATATCCTTTAAGGACGTGTCCCATCTGCCAGCCTCCAGGGCAAGCAGATACCGTAGACAACATCAGCACGAGTATGAAGATTACGCCTGAAAAGCCCGCGCAATGTAGCAAATTGTGAGGGGGCATTATCATTTCCTGTCTTTGTGTCATGCAATCATGTCGATCGTGAACAGGCCAATGTCCAGCATAACGCCTCCGGTCATGTGCCTTGAATTGGAGACGATGCCAAGCCCGTGGCTCAAGGGGACGGAAATTCCAATCTCCTGTGTAGCCTTGACACGATTTCAATGTAATTCTCGTCCGTTTCCATGGTCAGAATTCCATGCCTGATGAAGAAGTCCAGCAGCACCAGCGCACAGTTTGGCTTGAACTCGCCATTCCTCATGCTTTCCTTGACCTCTTCCACCGTCTTGAGCTGAAAGGACTCTACCTCATCGTCTGACGGCTTCGGCTCAACATCCTCGGGGAGCTCCAGGTCGTACACATACTGACACTCTGGCTGTACCAAGCGGGTCTCCCCACCAGCTCGCTGGTCGCGGATGTGAAAGTAGGTGACAGTGCCTACCGCCTTCGCCTTCTTCCTCACCAGCTCCTCCGGCAAACTGGCCTCTTCCGCAGACTCTCGCACCAGGCTCTCGAAAGGAGTCTCCCCCGTTGCGATACCTCCCGCAACGGTATTGTCCAACATTCCACCGTACGTCTGCTTGTTTGCCGCTCGGCGAGGCACCCAAATCCTCGTTTGCTGCTCCTTGTCCTCATTACCCTGCACATAAGCCGTCATGTGACAGCCGTACGTCGTGATACCAAACAACGCAGATGCAGCCCTCTCCATGCTGAACAACACCTCTCCCTGGGGCCCATATACGGGGTGCAATTCATTTCGCCATTTGGACAGGACTTTGAAGTATCCTGTGGCGTGCATCGCCCGAATCGTCGCTTGCACGACTTGAGTCCTCTCCGCCTCGGTCCTCCCCGTCACCAAGGTCAGACTCCTCTCCTCATCGTCAATGCGCCAATCCGGAAGGCCACGAAAGACTTCCGTCACGCTCGGGAGCAGGTAGCCCAGCTCGGTGTTGGGGTGGTCTTTGACGTACAGAGCATAGTATGTATTAACGTGGGCGAAGTACAGCTTGGGGTCGGTCTGGTAGTAGGGGAAATTGTCGCACTCATTGACCAGGTCGAGGTTGGACTTGGGACCTGCGTCGATGGGGGTGGGCTCGGCCAGGACCATGGCCGATGCACGCGCGCCTGTGCCGCCGGCGGAGAATCGGTCGACGTCGCCGTTGTGCTCAATGGCGTCGGGATCGGCGGAATCGCCAGTCTGCGCCGTTCCTGGCCGATGCGACTCGGCTTCTACGTCTGCGTCGTCGGCCTGGTTCCACGAGGCGAGACGCGGCAGATCAGTGGGGATCCAGTCGCGCAGGCGGTGGAGGTTGAAGGCCATTTCCTTGATGGTACCTACTCGGTCAGAGAGTCAGGTAGCGAAGGGGGGGAGGCGATACCTAGGTTCACTCCCGTCGTGGGAGAAGCTGATGAAACAGGCGTCAGACGTTGAAACCAGGGTCTCCACAGGAGGTAGCCTACCAACAGCTAACCTACCTATGCCTATGTACCGCTAGCCAGCCGAGATGGTTCTGGTATCCTTGGCAAAAGCTTATATTCCCGCCTCAATCTTTCCAAATTGCTCGCTGCCGCTCCGTCCCGCCACCTCATCGCTTGCATCCACCTGCGCCTCGCTCGCTCGCCGAGACATCCAGCGTCCCTCGCGCGCAGAGACACGGCGCATCACCATCGGGACGGACGATGCGCACGATTCTCATGCCCATCGGCCCCCCGGGCGCGGGCAAGTCGACTCTCTGCAATGGCCTTCAACAGTTCATGCGAGCCGTCGCCCGGCCTTGCTCGGTCGGCAATCTGGATCCGGCGAACGAGAATATTCCCTACGATGCCTCGTTCGATGTGCGAGACCTCGTGGACGTAAATGACGTGATGGAGCGCGAGGAACTCGGCCCCAACGGTGGCGTGCTCTGGGCCATGGAGGAAATCGAAACCAATGTCGAGTGGCTGGAGCAGAGCCTAGCACAGTGCGGTATGGATCTTGTCTAGAGGTACGTTGCGCATCTTCTCGCTGCTGACGGGAACCTGTAGAGGAGACTATCATTCTCGATACGCCTGGACAGCCAGAGCTTTCGACACATCATCCATCTCTGCCAAATATTCTCCATCGATTGGAGCAGCAGGGCTATCGCGTGCGTGTAATTTATATGTGATATTCTTATTATGTCCTGTCCGTGCTAATACCGCATTAGATAGTTGTCATCCAGTTGGTGGACTCTGTAGTCTTGACCCGGCCATCTTTATACCTCAGCTCTCTGCTTCTTTGCCTGCGCGCGCCGCTGCATCTGCCATATCCCGTGGTCAACGTGCTAACGAAGATGGACAACCTGAAAGCAGTTGGTGGTGCGGACTTGCCCTTCAATCTGGACTTCTACACAGAGATTCAAGACCTGCACCACCTGCTGCCCGCTCTCTCGAGAGAACAGACTGCAAGCGCTGGTGGGGCGTCTGGAAAGTGGGATGCTCTGAACGAAGCTCTCATCAGCTTAATTGAAGACTACGGATTGATGGGCTTCGAGACTATGGCTGTCGAGGACCGACAAAGCATGGCCACACTGCTCCGCGCCATTGATCGCGCCAGCGGCTATGTTTTTGCCGGGGCTCGCGGGACTGACGAGTCCGGCCGGACTCTGGACAACGAAGCGAGTATATGGGCCCAGGTAATGAGCGAAAACTACGGCCGGATGGATGTGCGGGATGTGCAGGAGCGGTGGATCGAGCGAAAAGACGAGTATGATGAGCTTGAAAAGAAGCAGTGGGAAGAAGAGGCACGACTAGCAGGCGCTCTGCCTGAGCAACCGGCGGCGAGTGTGAAGCGACCGACGAAAGGCGACAGCATCAGCACGGATGGCAATGACCCTGAAGACGACCTACTAGCCGAGCAGGAGAAGTGGCAGGAACAGCTAGCGGAAGCTCCAGCAGCTGTTCGCCACAGCAAGGTGATCAGAAAATCGACATCCGAATAGTCACCAATGTCCAGGGCTTGCCGGTTGCATACTGCACGGTGCCCATTGCAGACAATCGAGTCGCCATTTTCTCTGCACATGGCTTCAACCCAGCGGTCAACGAACCTGAAGCTGACCTCCATTAGGTCACGGCCTTGGTCTGACCTATTCACAAAGCATAAGATCCAGATCTATGGCGAGAAGTTCGGCCGGGATGTTACTAGCACCCTCTTGGATGGCGGATGGCCATGAGGTGTCATGGAGCGCAGCAGAACTCCCCAACATGGCGAAGCCACACACACACACACATACACACACAGTGCCGTGACCACGATTAACAAGGCGATGAGCTGTCGCAGAAAGTTCTCGGCAAACTATGATTGATTGGCTTATGTCTCGACTTGTCTGCAGCTGAACACAGCCCCGAAATTCGATCCTACTGCTGATAAGCTACCGGGAGTTCCGATGATCAGTAGCCAGAAGCGCCGACTTCTGACCCGCAATGCAGCCAAAGGCGGCATCACCGAAGATTCTGTTAGAATAGGACGTACGTTCAGGGGCCATCGACGTGTTGTGGTTCTGAGCATGTCGACCAAAGCTTTCTTCCTCAGCACTAGAAAGACTATGATGTGCGCAGGAACCATATCGCTGCCGTCCATGCACAATCATCCAAACTGTAACAGGTCAGCGTTACTACAGTCTTCCGTCTCGACAACGTATAGTGACTTACCCACAGCGGCTCTGATCTGTCCTATCCTTCTCAAGTTATTGGCACCCGCCCATCGCGCAGTTGTGCCAGACATTGGTGCACATCCCATTACACCAAGTTGACAAGTGGCATTCCTCTTGCGTGGTCGGGTAATAGCATTGAGCGGGCGGGTCAACAGCATTGACCGATATGGCAACGGCAATCACTGCGTGGATGATTGTATTGACTAGATGAGTATTCGTAAGCATGGGAACGAGGACTGCCTTGGAACCTGCCGTACATTTCATGATTCCGAGTTTCAGTCCTTCTCCTATTGGTAAGTTGGTCCCGGGTTGTGCACGACCGGTGTTGAGGGAATACCTTCTGTATATGCGAGCTCTCTCGTGCGCTAAGGCTTTGTAGGCCCTTGCAGACTTGTAAGACATGTAAGCAGACTATCTCGCTTGGCCAGACGTCACGCAGGCAAGCAAGGACACACATACCCTACACTTCCAAGCCCTTAGACGGGCGTCTGCGTGTAAGAAAGAAACTACCGATGTTGAAGTGGCACTACAAACTCTACCGAAAACCTCCGGGTTTATTCCTTGCGCTATTCCTATATGAAGAAAGCAGTAAAGGCCTTTCTCTTTATATATACCAAGACAGTATACTCTCCTTTGTTGATGTAGATTAAGCAACTTCCATTCTACTGGTACTAATCAACACATACTTCTTCTCCTCTCTACTAAATTAATTACCTCGGAACCTTCTAAAGTAATTGATATAAAGAGGATACGAACCAATCAGATCAAATGTTCCATAGAACACTGTATACCTAATTGGAAAGCTTCCGAGAATAATATAATAAAATCACAGAGGGACTATAAACTGTTATAGGGCGTTAAGCTAATAATAATCTAATTCTTTCTGTACCGAATTAAAGTTAGTTCTACTCGTATATTAGACGATAAGAATTAGAGATGTAATCTGATAAAAGAATAAGTTATATTATCTATACCAGGTAGAAATATAGATTGTAAGTAAATTGATTACCTCTATAATCTGGTATACTGTTCTAGAGTTTATTAAAATTCTAATATATAGCTCTATAAGGCTCCGAGATCTCTATCTCTACCTATCTGTAATTTGCTTCTCCGTTCTTTTATAATAGTCAATAGAGAACCTCAAAGATACTCTCTAGAGAGAGTAGGCACTTCCAGACTTTTTAAGGATCACCTAGAAAACTATAGAGTTACCGTAATAGTATGCTAGTTTTAGAGTAATCTATAACAGGGTTCGGAGAGCCTTTTTTATAGATTGTCTAATGCACATTCTGTAGAGTCTCCAGAGAAAGTAAGAAAAGCCACTATTTTTCTTCTTACGATATTTATATAGTTTGATACCTGATCCCAGCATTAAATACATCGATAGAAAGTTCTGATTGATCTAAATTGATCCTTTAGAATAGAAAACAATTTTGTGTAAGGGTATTATCAGTAGACTACTATTCCTTTCAGATAGCCTAGAGTCAAATTATTATAATGCTTTCAGAGCTATGCTGCTAAGATTTAGAACACGCTAAGTTATTGGTACTTAGAAAATCTTACTCCTAGCCAAGTAATATATTTCTTTAAATAAATACCTAAGATTCCCGAATCAAGCTGAAAGTACAAAAGCAGACCTTTTTGAACCCGAACGTTCTTTCTCTAGAAGACTTGAACTTTTCTTACCTATGGAGTATTACCTCCGAAGGCTATAAAAGCTTACATTAGAAAGTTTCCTATCCCTAGAATCTGAAATTCTCTATCTCTAGAATACTAACTAAATAAAATATCTATTAGACTATAAGTAGAGCATAATACGGGTATACGTAGAGCTATAGTAAGGCTAAGGCTATAGATCATAACTCTCTACTAATGAAGTAGAGCTCTATAATCTAGTTAACAAGAATCTTATAATGCTATAAGATATAAATGTATACAATACCTTAATAGAGGAGCAGTCAAATACGTTATTTGCATTCAGTTATACCTCTTTGTCTATATTGCCTAAATCACAAGAAAAGGATACGCTAATAGGATACTTCTAGACAAGCCAGGCTCATTTCTCTAGCTAGAGTATACTAAAGCTAGATTGATTGGTCCTGAATTCCTCCTACTCTAGCCTACGCTTCGCTTCAACAGGGAAGTCGGTCGCTCCGTAATAATAACAATTTATATAACACATTACGTAGTATTCTAGATAACCTAGTACTACAGCTGAAAATCGTAGTTTATTATAGAATACTTGAATACTAAAATAAGTATACTACCCGTAACTCTATTAGCCTATATAGGTTTTCTATACTACATTTCGTTACTTTCTATAAGCTTAGGACCTTAAACATTACAGACTCCTCTAGAACGTCTTTTACGCCGCCTTCTTTATTCAATTGTCAGATTTTCCGAGCTGGCTTATATACAAAGTTAGTCAAAGCTTACTCAGTCTATTATATAGTAGTGTCACTTTTAAAGTAGTGTCCGAGAGACAAGTACGTAATATAGGGATAATCACGGAATTAGGTTACGTTAATATAATCTCTTTCTAGGAATAATATTAATAAGGTTTAGAGTTTGCGTATATATATATAGTCGCTTATCGTGTCGGCTAACTCGACTCTTGTATATACTTATATTAGTACCGAACTGCTACCTATATCAAGGACTTTATAGACATTATACTAGCTTGTACGTTACCTAGATTAGTAACGAGAAGAACTTTACTATTAGAGGCGTTACGTTTGGCCGTATACAATTAGCAATATTAAGTATTGATCTACTTACTAAGTTCTACTATATATATGTATATATATATATATTACTCTATCGAATTTATAGAGTATAGATAGAATTAGATTCTGAATTGGTGTTATTAGTAGATAGATCGTATTTATATAGTACCTATAGTAGAGTTTCCTTCTCGTAGCAAACAACTACTATAAGAGTTTTATATGTATATAAGCTATTTTAGCATCCGGCGCTATAATACCTTCTATACTTATATTATAACAGAAAATACTACAGTTATTTGAGGGAGAGCTTTCTTAGCTATTAAAGGATACTAAAATATAGACAGTCGATAGTACGGAGGTAATTACTAAACTCTACTGCTCTACTACTCTAGATAGCGTATAAAGGGTATACTCTCTAATAGAACAGTACTTATTACCTCCTTAGTAAAAGGACCTCTTGTCGTAGAAGATAGGGATTGTAATATAGGCGCCGGACCCTTCTCTATCGAGTTCTTAGAGCTACGGTCTAGTATAATCTATTCTTTTGATTATTATAATAAGGTAATAAAGTAGGGTCTTATAAGGGTTTGTTGTTAATAGCGCCTATTCAATGTTATAAAAAATCTAGTAGCTCTAGTTACTAGGCCGGCTTCTATCTAGACGTTCTTTAAGAGTATAATCTTATAGCTAATAGATACCTCAATCTCTACCTCTAATTAACTATATTTATCTATAGAAGTATACTGTCTAATACTATCGTCGTTATGCTTAGCTCTAAGCTTAATAATAGAGGTATACAATACAGTTAGTCGCTGCTCGTTAAAGTTCCTAATATTATCGTTAGTAAAGTAGATATAAGTAGTATCCTTAAAAGATTAGCGCTCTCCTATAGAGAGTATAGAAGCAATACGAGTAGTAAGAACCTACTAGTCCTAACAAGTAAAAGCATTTCTATAGAGGCCTTTTAAATATTTGCGGAAAGTTAGTTACGTATTAGCCTTGTTAACTCGATAGTATAATTGAAGGTATAGTAATCGTTATGGCTACTAATATCTATAGTATAATTAAGATTAGTAATAAAGAGCGGAAGTCTAGTAATAGTTAGAAGTTAGAAGAAATTACCGAGAAGGATAATGTTTATTCCGCCGAATAGCAGTTGACTACTACGTACCTAAGAGAGCCAAAAATAAAGACTAATTACAGACTTTTCGTCAATAATAAGATAGTAGACTCTATAAAGCTTAGCCTATACGCTCTATAATATAGATACGGACAGCTCTTAAAACTAGCGGTACCTATAGGCAGTTCAAGGAGTTTGTAAAGGGTTTAGCTATTATAGCGTAAGTAGCTATACTAGTTAGTACTAGGCGGAGGACTAGATTCCTACGAGTTCTAGCTTTAGCCTATAAATATACAGAGGTAAGATTAATAATATATAATTTAGTAGCTCTAGTACGTCTATTAACATTTAGAAGTAATTGAGGAGGATCCTAGCTATCTAGAAGAGAGAGGTAGTAATTAAGTACTGTATTATATACTAAACGTTGCTCTAGATTAAGAAACTCTTTTTAATTGGTTGACTAGGAATCTATACAGAGTTCTATAGGGTTAGCCGCAATTTCTTCTTTCTAATACTTACGGGTTTTTATATATAGCGGGAGCATAAATTTTATACAGCGGGAGGCATTTTAGGATTAACCCTAAAGTCTAGGCCTTAGGCATCATTCTTGGCGTTGTGTAATAAGACACCTCCGCGCTCGCACCAATATATTAGCAGGCTACGATTCAGGCTACTACTAGAGCGATAGACGCGACGACGCGACGCGACGACACGACGACATTACGAGATGTACGCGAGATTGGCTAATAGAGAGACAGAGAGATACTGTCGATTATAGTAGGTAATATAGCTAAAGACAGCGGCAAACGCGTTTTTGGCTTAGAACTAATTCAGTTACCTCTAATAGACTATAACCAAAGATACAACTATTAAACAAGTTCGTCCTATTAGTATATTGTTACTATAGTTAACCTAATTTTCCGCTATACCAAGTCTGTAGTTATATGTATTGTTGCTGTCGCTATTACGGTATGTTAGGAAAATCTTCCTATATATGTATGCCTAAGGTTGTTAGGGTAAGCCCTAAGAGGCCTCCTGCTATATATAAAAACCTATACTTACAGGGAATTATATCCGGCGGGAGCAGAAATTCTAAATAGCAGGAGGTCAAGTTTGCCTAAGGCACGCCATGCCTATATCGCGCCGTGTGTCTATCGCGCCGTGTGTCTATCGCGCCGTGTGTCTATCGCGCCGTATGTCTATCGCGCCGTATGTCTATCGCGCC